ACCCTGCCAGAATGCCAGGGCTGGGGGCTGCCCCAGGGGTAGGGTGGAGTGCAGCCCCTCCGGGTATTTGGTGAGGGCAGAGGTCAAAGAACGGCCTGCAGGGAGCCAATGACCCAGGAGCCTTTAATCCGCAGTCCCTCCCCTTTACCGCGCCACAAAGCAGAGCCACTCCCCTTTCACACCCCCAGTGGGGACGCGGCCCCTTTAAACTGAGGAGAGGGCGGAAGTGCCCTGCACAAAGATGGCGCCGGCATAGGAAAAGCACGTGACACGGAAGTCTAGCACTGACAGGAAGTGCCCCGCGCAAAGATGGCGCCTGAACGCGGAGCCACGTGACCCGGAAGCCTCGAGCCGGCCGGTGTTGACGTGTGCCGAGCGGCCTGCGCCTGCGCGGGGCGGGCGAGCAGCGCTTGCGCCTGCGCAGTAGCAGCTCGGCGGGCCGCGTACTAGCCCGGGGGTGGCCATGGGGCCCCGGCGGCCACCCGAGCTGTACCGCGCGCCCTTCCCGCTCTACGCGCTGCAGCTGCATGCGGACACCGGCCTGGCCGTGACGGCTGGGGGCGGCGGTGCCGCCAAGACCGGCATCAAGAATGGCGTGGTGAGTGCCGTGCACACAGCGCCCTCTGTCGGCCGTCCCGCGCATGCACCTGCCTGGCGGCGTGCACCGCGCCCCCTGCCCCGCGCATGCGCCCCGAGTGCAATCGTGACGGGTGCACGGCCCCCCCTGCCGAATGCCCGCGCGTGCGCCAGCCGAGTCGTATGCCGTGCGCATGCGCCCTTGAGCACAGAGAGCCGTCTGCCACGGCGCATGCGCCCTGGATGCAATTGTACTGTACGCACAGCGCCCCTTGCGGGCGCCCAGCGGTACGGCAGCCGCACACGTGCCCAGCGCCCCCTGCCGGCGCTGCCCGCTGTGCCCAGGGCTGGGGGGTCCCTGGGGTGCTGCAGCGGGTGCACCCCGCGGGCATCGCCCCTGCTGTGGGCTGGGGCCCCCGGGCCTCCTGCAGTGGCATGCACCCCTGCGTGGGCATTGCCCGCTCCGTCCGGGCAGGGGTGCTGGGGCCGGCCAGGGGAGCAGAGCTGAGCACCCCCCGCCCCGCAGCACTTCCTGCAGCTGGAGCGGATCGGGGGGCAGCTGAGCGCCTCGCTGCTGCACTCGCATGACACGGCGACGCGGGCCACCATGACCATGGCGCTGGCGGGCGACATCATCGCCGCGGGGCAGGACGCCCACTGCCACCTCC